CACTTTTTTGTTTTTTTCCCCTTCTTTTAACTGCTTAGCTAGACACCGCCATCACTTGAGCACCTGTGAGTCATGCATCGGCGGGCTTTACGCCTTAAATTGCCGATAAACGGTGCGGTGTTGGTTTGGTTCGTTTAGGCGTTTTCTTTTTTCTTTGTTAGTCTAGGTTCATGGTTTTTTATTCTCTTGTCCGTTTCCTTCCGTTGTTGTGAAGCGCCTCGAGGTTAGTCTAACGGGAGGCGCTATACAAATCGCAAATTATTATTATTATTATATTATTATTATTATATTAAGTGTCCAGATTTGTTAAAAACAGCATCGCTGTCACTGCCAATCCCTAATATTGTGGTCTGAAAGCAAAATTTGGACCATACTAAGCCATAAAACATGAACCGTACCAGGGATTTTTTATTCCAAGAACCCGATAGAGGCTCTACTGTAGGTCGGCCCCTTGGTTTGGACCCCTCCGTCGGAGATGTCGGCCCCTTGTTGGCAACTACTTTCTGGAGCCACCACTAAATTTTGACGGTTGTTTGGAATGTTATGATTTGTTTATTGTGACCCTGAGGTATACCTTTTCCACACACTTTTATACTTTTAGAAAGCATGATACCGAAAGTTTGGACATACAGTACATAATTTTCTGTCAATGGTGTTTCTGTGACTACAGTGCAACTAAACATAATTTCACCAATCAAATCACACACATAATTTCTTTGATTTCAAAGAATCTGTCTATCACCTTGGCATACATAGTTCATAGTTTCAAGTTTTGGAGCACCATTGAGCAGGTTTTGAATCTCGTCTTCAAAATTAATAACATCCTCATCTTCTGCGCTGTAGTCTGTCTCGTTAATTTCAAATACCGGGATATACTGAGTCAGTTTATCGTTTTCACTTGATATTGGCTCAACCTCGTGTAATTTGCAATAAGGATCTGTACCACCATAACTCAATGGTGTTTGACTTCCAGGCAGTTTATCAAGGCCCGACGACATCGGTGGCATGGATGTGTAAGGATCAGAGTTGTTTTCGATCCTCTTATGATCAGTTTGTAGTGGAGACAACTGCAGTATGTCGTGGTAGCCTGTCTGCTGCAGTTGAAGGTACTCTGTGATGCCTTCCTTAACTGATGAGACTTGATAGTCGGTCTCATTTGAATCAACTAATGGTGCTCTCACATAAGTACTGCTTTTTTCTTTACCTATTGGCAGATGAGGGCTTAGCTCATGGAATCCCTGGTCAGAGCTTGTGGAACTATGGGGTGAAGGTAAGCAGTCTGACTTGGTCTTTAAATCATCAAAAACTTCTTTTTCAATTTGTCGAGGTTGGAAAGTAGCATTTATTTCCTAAAACAAAGTAAATTTTGCAATATTATATAAACCTTATTTTGTAAACTTGATGTATAGGCAAACAACAGAAATTATTTTTAAAAATACTGAGAAATATCAAACTAGCTGGAGGTAACAATAAAGTAAATGCTCATTACCACTTTAAAAAACTTTGGTTCAGGCCACTTAATGAAGAGCTGCTTATGAAAATATCGTTGAAAGCACAACCAAAACAGCAGTCCAATTAGAAATAGAATTCCAACTAAAAGGACGGGAACAACTAAGCTCAGTGGATCTGAAAAAATTGAACATATTTAAATATTAATTAAAACCCAATAAATCATGAAAGGCCTTGCCGAAGAATGTAAATTACTAAAAAAATATTTTTTAACCATTCTGTTAAATATAATATACATACTATCAGTTGGGTTCCTTGTTATCAAATCTTCTTTCGTAATTGTCGGCACTGAAAGATAATTAATAACAATAATAACAACAATAAAAATAATCATTTGTAATATTAATAATTGTGCCTTGTATCCCTTGGCAAAAGGCTCAATATAGATTCTTAATTTTTAATAATTAGGAAAATTTTATCAACTTCATATTTAACTTTTTATGACCCTTTTAATATACACTTTTTTTATTAGGTGATGGTTTTTTAGACAGGAAATAATTCCTCTTGGCATCCCTGTCACTTATGTTCGAAGGGTGTATATAAAAGAAAATAAATAAATTGCCTAAATAAAATGTTTACTTTTTTTTTATTAATGATCATATTTTTGCTGCAATTTTTAACTTCTGGCTTAGGGCCTTTTTACAGTACTGTATATATCTCAATGTAATTTGGTAACTTGATGTTTTTAATGTTGGATGTTTATAATGTTTTTCTCTTTAAATGATGCCGAATAAATTCAATTCAATTCAAAAGTGCAAAATAAAAAAATTATTTGATGTTACCACTACTGTAAGACACATACTGCTAGCCTCAATTAAGAAAATGATCAAAGTTAGGCCTGTACCCACAAGGTGTATATGCTGCAGCCGAATCCATCTCCCCTTCCATCTTTTTTTAACAAACCCCTTTCTGATAAACCAAACCATATTCTCCTCTTACATAACAAAAAAAAAAAAAAAATCGCCCAATGTGTTGAAAATAATATACATACTATGGTTACTTGGTGTTTTAGTTAGCAATCCATCTTTCTTAGTTGTTCGCACTGAAATAGATGAATAATAATAATAATAATAATAGTAATAATAATACAACAACTATAATAATTAATATTAATTAAGTGCATATTAAATCAATGGAAAGAGAATTATAAGATAGGGACATAATTACAATACACATAACCACTGCCTCCTTTAAACAGTAGGCCTTCGTATCTAGGTGGGCTCCTCATACCCCTAGATACAGTATGCCACTGCCTTATGAGATAATGATTATACTTAGGCCTGTTTCAACCAGATGCTTCCTATGGGGCGCAGCCGAAGGCCCTTGAGTGAATCCCGGAGAAATCAAACTACATATTCCTCCTGCATAAAGCTCTGTCTTGGTTGGACTATCAAATTTTACTTGACTAAAACATGTGACATGCCTAAATATGGTCATGATGACATCACAGCATGGCCATATACAGGTACATCATGACTATATATGGGCATACAACAGTTTTTTGACAAACACGATTTGATAGTGTGGACAGAGCTTTATGCAAGATGAGTGGCTTCACCTTTGAATTTACATTTAGCTCTTCCTGGATTCCATTAGGGTAACTTAGGTTGCCCTGAAAATGGACACTAATAGGTAGCCATGCACCCCCTTCTTCTTTTAAGAAGGGGTAGAAAAAAAGTGTATATGCATGTAAGACTTATAACCACTAGGCCTACAGAGAAAATCATAAAATTACCTGCTTTTTGGCAATCAAATTCATAGGGTAAAAAGCTTGGTTGACCCTTGACAACAACCTCTTCAGCAAAACTGACTGCCGTTACTTGGAAATTATAACTGACGATCCTCTCATCATATTCATTGTCACACGGAACGTCAAAGATAATATAATTTGTATCTACACGAGTCATATTCAAAGATTGGTGAGTGCAGTCCCCGCTGATCTCGTAGTACTCAACACTAGGTTTGTTTTCTGCTGGTTTTCTCCACTGCAACATAAACTGGTCCAAGGTTGTTTCTGGGGCTGTGGTAGTGACCATCAAATTAACAGGTTCTGGAACTGTATGGTTAAAATTTTTAAATTAGAATATGCTTTAAATTTATGTAATAAAAATGATATTATATAGAGCACTTAATAGTTATTTGAAAAATGCTTGTGGCTAACTGTGGTTTTGATCTTATTTATAAGCTTTTAATTGTGTCATAATAACAATATAATCAGTGGCAGATTCAAGGGGGTCCCAGCTGGCCTGGGTCCCCTCAATTTATAAAAAAAAGTAGAGAAAAAAAATTAAATTAAAAATGTAAGTCTGAGAGTGCTATTTCTGCATATCTAGAGGTGCCATAATCATAACTTTTCCTCTATCTGTGAAGTCCAACCTTGGGCTCCCCCTATCTCGAATTCCTGGACCCACCACTGGTAATTAAAATAATAATAAAAATAATTACTGTACTATAACACTCTCAATAATTAATTTAATAATACTACTGTATTTATTCATACATAAGGAAAGCAGTGATGGAATTTGACTAGCGACTCTAAAATGATTTTAATCTCCTTTTATGTTAATGTAATTTAACTCACCAGATACTACACTTTTAGGACCCCATTTACTGAATTCCTTACGAAGAAACTTTGAGCGTACTTCAAATTCATATTTACTTCCAATCTCAAAGACTTCTATAGTATAATTCTTATGACGTGTTTCAGGTCGCACCTGTCAAAAAATGATTAAATCATGTATCATATTATAAGATTTTGCTGTGTGTATAAATAATAATAATGATGATGATAGTGATGATGGTGATAATAATAATAATAATAATAATAATAATAATAATAATAATAATAATAATAATAATAATAATAATAATAATAATAATAATAATAATAATATTATTATTATTATTATTATTATAATGATGGTGAGGATAATAATAATAATAATAATAATAATAATAATAATAATTAGCTCCCAATGGCTGTAATATTAAAACATAAAAATTGTAATTGAACAGATAAATACAAATTCTTACCATTGTCCAATTTGTATTATGCAACCTGTAGCGAAGTTGATATCTCAAAGTATGGGAATATTTGAAGTCTTCTTGCAATTTCCAAAACACCTGAATACTACTTTTGCCAGCTAAAACTTTTTCAATGACAGGAGGTAGAGGAATTGCTAAATGTCAAATGAAGAATACAGAAGATTGATAAAAAATAATTGGTTAATGGTTGTGCACTTGTGTAGCACATATAACATGAATAAATGAATCACCATTATGATAATATAGGTTTATAACTAATATTATGGGGCTTGACATGCAAAAACCAGCCAGTGACCAAAACAAGAATAATGACTTTTTTTATATATGCCCTCATATTCTCCACAATAAGCTTTAAAATTATTGGTCATTTACTGTAATCAATACTATTGCCAAAGTTATGAGTAAACGTATTACAGCTTTTCTGTACTAAAGTGTACAATACTGTCACATTCTCTGCTAATACTCAGTTTGTCATTTAGAGACAGGCCTGTAGGCAGGGGGGGGGGTGCAAAGGGTGCGGACACACCCCTCCCCCCCCCCAAATTCCAAAAGGTCTACTTTTTAAAACCTATTGTAAGGTCCACTTTGGTTGCAAAACGCACCTCCCCATCGAAAATCCTGCCTACGGGCCTGAGAAACAGTATGCTCGTTTTGGGATGGCAAGCCTCATATACAATTCTTAAATATGATTAGAAAAGATAATGAACACATTTTATTTAACCATTAAAAAAAACCCCAAAAATATGAATAAAATGAGCATTTAAGACTATGAAGCAAATTATTTTGTTCCTATACTGTAATTAATTATATTAATTGATTATTTAATCAATTAATTAACTAATTAATGATGATGATGGTTATGTTGATAAAGATGATGATAATAATAATAACAAACCTTCTTCATAAGCATTAAATTTTGAGGTTGTGTTTCCGCTTCCAAAAATATTTTTAGCTGTAACCCTTACTAAATATGGATGTATAGGATAACTAGCCACTGTGCACATGTCTTTGTGACTGTTAATACGATGAATACTTGGACAATCTTCCCACTTTGATTCTTCAGGCTTTCTACAAAATAAGAAAAATGAATTATATAAATGAAATGCTTTAATATGCCTGGAGGTCAGTGCCATAATGCAGGGGTTTAAAACAATATCATGGATATATTATAACAGTGGCCAAGTTTGTAGATTGAATCAAGCTGAAGGCAGAGGAGTGGATTTAGGGAGAGGGAACAGGAGAATGTGTCCCCACACTGCCGTCTTTTATTTTTTAAGAGAAAAAACACAAAATGGCAAGGTGGTATGTACACACCCTGTCTCTGCAAATCTTTAGTGATATAGCGGAGTATTCCATATTATGTGATGAGTGATACTGTATTTAATTATATAGTAGAGCACAATCTTCTAGAAAGTTTTCCCTCTCCTCCCCTATATAACAACTTGCTAAGCAAAACATTTACACTCAGTACAGTTTGCCTCCCAATTTGAGATCATCTTTGGGACTTGAATATTTTGGGACGTTTCAGGGTTCGATATCTCAACACAGAGAGTAAGTTTAGTGTAATAGATTGAAGATTGTCATTTGGTTCTTTGAAAAACTGGTCTTGAATTGGAAGGGTCTCGGAATCAGAGGGGTCTCGAAATGGAGGGTGCACATACATCATTTCCTTATTCCCATCGTGATCCTCATCAACCCTCCATGTCAATACTTTAGATAAGCTGACAGGAGACCTTGTTTGGGCCTTGTTTACAGCGTGACCACTCACAATTTTTGATATACCCAATAACTGGGTCGAAATTACCCAAGATTCAGCAAAAATTGCCCAAAATTACCCAAGCTTCCTGAAAATGCATTAAAATTTGAAAAATATGTGTTTTTCGCATGTATAGTTTCCCTTATGGTTCAATTTATAAACCATTTTTTATTGTAATTGTTTGTGTTAATTATTAAAATTAATATTCATGAGGTAATAATACAGATAGAAAAATACGCCCTCAGTTGGCCAGTGTCATCAGTGTAGATCAGTGATCAAGTTTTATTATGTAATGCATTAATTAGGTAAGATCAATGGCAATGCAAATCACAAATAAACAATTCTGAACCCATGTTTATAGCAATTACCAGTCAATTAACAATGTTATGTGCCCTTTGTTGAGTTTTGCTTACTTGAACGGACTGAAATATACTTTGTTACTTCTTAATTCTTCCTCTATGACAAAAATATTTAATTTTCTTAGTAAAAATAAAATACCCAAGGATTTGAACGGAATACCTAAGAACCCAAGACCAAGTGAAAATACCCAAGATCTTGGGTAAATACCCAAGTAGTGGTCACGCTGCTTGTTTATGATAACAGCAGCACATATTCTGTACACTTTATGTAAAAGAAATTCATTTAAATGACTTACTTAAATTGGAAAGTGTAGTTATTCTTCATTCCGGTGTAGTTTTTAGACCACTCACACCAAAAAACAGAAATGTTTGTTGATCTGCATTGTAATGTTGGTGGAGGAGGTGCAACTACATAAGAAAAAAAACCACAAAGCATACAAATTATCAATATTCAACATATGAAAAAGATAGAAAGTAAGTGTAGGAATTATCCATATGATAAATATTATTAATTGTCAGCTAAATGCTGGCAAGTATGCTTGACTACATATATTACAAAGTTTTTAACTGTGTATCATTTTGTTTTCATTTTGTATCACATTGGGACTAATGGTGGGGTGTAGATGATTTGAAATATGCAATTGTTTGACATTAATGAGAATTATTAAAGACTTAATAGTAACCTTTTAAGCTCCATCCAGACTATCGTATTTTATTTGACAAAAACATTTGATATGTCTAAATACGGTTATGATGAAATCACATTATGACCATCTATAGGCACATCATGACTATATATGGGCATACAACAGCTTTTTGTCAAATTCAATTTGATAGTGTGAACATATGGGCTTAAAAGGCTTAAAAGTACATATACTTACTTCCAACCTCTATTATTGTCTCTACTTTTGAATCACTTTGAAGGAAGCAGCTAATCAGCATACCTTTATCATCAAATGTTACATTATATAAGGTTATCTGTGCCTCTGTGGTTGAAATTACATGTATAGTTATATCCGGTCCAATACTTTTGTAATCTTTTAGCCATTTTATTTCTGAGGCGTTGCTTGATGTCAGTGTCCGGTTTAGTTTGCATGTAATAGTCACGTTAGAACCCACAACCAGCTCGGGATCAAGTGGTGTTATGGTACCTATGAAAACAAAAGGATAATTATAATATCTGTAAAGCAATTTGTCTAATGGTTCTTTTCATTACCCTCGCCCCACTAAGTGGGGTGAGGGTGTTGCAATGAGCTCTGTCTGTCTGTCTGTGACGTTTATGTTTGTCCTTCCGGGAGCATAACTCAAAACTACTGGACCGTTTAACATCAAACTTTCACACACTGACAATATTACATGTATCTTGGTCCTCCCCCATTTGGGTGCTCCTCGAAAGTAAGATGTAGATTTTAGAATGTTATTTGGTGATCCGCTTCACAGAACGGATCACCTCTTATTATTGTCAGAGACCTTTTTTTCCTCAAAATTGCCGCTAGTTACGCAAGGAACATTTGGCTTGGCCTGGAATAGTCACAATAAGCTTTTCAATGTGACCGGTCATATGTGACGTCATCTATGCGCAATTTTGCATTTTTACATTATCGATCATATCATCCTATCCATTTCGAAATTATATTCCGTGAGCATAAACATCAGGTTGAAGTTAAATTGCATGTACCTGAATTTTACGCGCGCGTCATAACACGTGCATATGCGTGTCAAAATTAATGCTCAGAATCACTTTTTGACTAAGAGCATGTTTCAGTCCATTTTGAGCATTTCAACATTTTTCAAATTTTCCGCACTGCGGATTTTTACACGTGCGAAAGCTGGAAATTTAATTTTTTTACATGTTTTGGGTTTCTGACACTGTATTCACAAATTTCAATTCCTTTTCATTCATCTTGGGCTAATAGAAATGCCGTATGCGCGCATCAAAGTTATGAATCCTTGTGCACGTTTTTGTCGACAAACACAGAAAATTTGCCAAAATCATGCCTATTTTCAATCAGTTATAGCTCCTTAGGATAAAAGGTGACCTCCAATTTTTATTACTTATTCTTAAAGCACATGAGTTGTAGATATAATTTTATAGATCATATGGCTGATCGGACATTGCGACGTCATCATATTGCCATCTGAATACAAAACAAGAGCGACCGCTCACATGGTCTGTGCGTTCCTCCACGCTAAAATACGGTACAGGCGCAAGTTATTATATTTGGTTTTTTTGAAGAGCTAATAAAACAGGAATTTTTAAATAAATAGAATGTTTATTTGTACAAAAAAAAAACATTATTTGGAATTAAAAATTAAGATACATTAAATTGAACAAAAATAACTTCTTAAAATTCCGTCATCAAACCAAAAACTGTGTTTTTAATTTTATTAATATTGAAGGCTAGTTGAGCTAAGCCTAGTTTGTCCGATCTGCCAACCTATGCTCTCCCC